GGCATTAGTGAGCTAAAATGAACTGGTATGGACCATTTTGAATCCAATGACCACATCGTTTACTATGCCAAAAATGACAAATTGAGGAGGAATGGTGTTGCATTCATTGTCAAAAAGAACATATCCAGATAAGTCATGAGGTTCAATGCTGTCTGTGTTGTTGGAAAACTGTGAGTGCAATGCTGGACTCTTTTGGGGGTGTGCTCCCACCCACCTGAAGGCATCTGGGCTGTGCAGTGAGGGTGCAATTGGGATGAAGAGTAGAGATTTGTGAAGAATGAAAAGTGAAAGGTGAAAAATCTGTTCACACCTCTCCCTCCAGACACACAACTCCACAGCTTTTGGCGGTTGGTCACTCCCTGTGCTTGGCTGTGATCCATTCTCCGGCCTAAGGAGTTCTGACTGCCGGCCACTGTGCCTGGATCGATTCAGAAATCACCATATTTTGCTTCCACAGGCAGATTTCTTCTCAGCTGGGTATGGGAAACTGGCACCTGGAAACTTAAACAAAATCCAAAACTCTGTAGTTTTTCTGTGGGCTGCTCTTTCTCTGCTTTTTTTGGGAGTTTTGGCAAAGGAGTTTTTACTATCTGTCTCTGCTTTCCTCACACCAAAACCGGAAGTCCCCAGAAAGTTGTTTTCAAATATTAGAAACACTATTTGAAATCAGGGCTGAGTTGTTCTGTGCTGTGAAGTCTTAGTCTTTATACTTAACTAAAAGGAGGCGGTTTTGGTTTCTGTTATTTTGGTTGTCTAGCATAAGGAAGACAACCAATCATCTAAAGCAGGACACTTACAAGAGTGAGTGAGGTACTAACAATCACACCCCAGTTTGTCCTAGGCAGACCAGGCTTTTCATTATCATCCTAAACTAAAGAAAATTGTCCTATTAAACAGGAAATTATAAAGGTTGCCTTGTACAATATTAGTTTTCCAATTATTTAAATTATTGAAACACTTGTTAGGCATAAAAGTGCAACTATTTCCAGTATTTGGAGTTGTACCGGATGACATTATAAATCTCAAAGTCCTTAATTTGACCTAGACAATGATCACCTGTGTTACTGGGATGATTACATGAGATGGACATTCCTTCTTCCAGCTCTTTCTAGAAGAACCATTTTCATGTGACACTCAAGCTTGACTTTTGCAAGGCAAAGAGATGGTTGTGCTGATGCTATGTAACTTCTAGGCATTAACTGTATTTTTGTTTGTTTGGTTTTTTGGTACTTCTAACTTCTTCTTCTTTTTTTTTTTTTTTTGTACTTTGTAACTTCTGAGCATTAAGTTCAATGTTCTGTGGTGGTTCAGAGCACATTGTAGGTGCTGAGAATTTGAATGTCTTATCCAAGCTGCACTAGTCAGAGTTTTTGGTTGGAAGGGACAAAATCCAGTGGAACTGGCATAAGCTTGAGGCTCAGCTATATCCCTGTCCTTGAATTCCATGAAGCATTCCTTTATCTTGATAATAAGTTATCTCTTCTTAAACTGTTTTTGAACTTTATTCTGAGATAATGTTTGACTTACAAAACAGTTGCAAGAATAATGCAGAGAATTCACATATATCTTTTACCCACTATTACTATGTCATAAGACTTACAGAAATCATAGCACAGTAATTTAAAACTAAGAAATTAACATTGGTGTTGTCTTAGGCTGGGTTTTCTAGAGAACCAAAACCAGAGAGAGAGAGAGAGAGAGAGTTCTGGTGTGGCACTGTGGGTTAATGGGTCAGACTGCAAAGTCTGTACTGCAAGGTCGGTGGTTCAAGCTCACTAGCTGCTCCTTGGAAACCCTATACAGAGTCACTATGGGTCTGAATTGACTTGATGGCACTTAACAACAACTATATATATATATATATATACATACATATATATAGGGAGAGAGTGAGAGAGAGAAGTTTATTATTAAGGAAATGGCTTACAATTGCAGAGTCCCAGGTTCCCAGTGGGAGAGAGAGAGTGTGTCCACGTGCTCATTATATCATTATATTGGGGAGCAAGTCACACCCACAAGGAAGCATCTCTTCAATTGATTGGTTGCACAGAGTCACTCATCATAGAGATAACTATGTCTGTAATAGGTTTCATCACCATGGGAATAAGCACATCTTAACTGATAAAAGACAAGAAAGAAGGAAAAGATCAAGATGGATGTCAGAAGAGACTCTGAAACTTGCTCTCCAACGTAGAGAAGCCAAAGCAAATGGAAAAATTGAA